TAAAGAAATCATCAAATCATAAGTCCAGAAAAATATAAATACCAATACCACAGAAAAATATAAAAAACTTTTTAGGTGCAAAAAAAACTTTTGTGCAAAAGGAGTGTCTCAATATAAAAAAAAAGTGTCTCAATATAAAAAAATTTCACCAAAAAACCTTGGAGAACATGCAAAACCGATCCAGGCAGATGGTGCCATGGTTGGGATTCGAACCAGCAACCCTAGTACTGAAACAGGTGGAAGTGCTAATCCATTAAGCTACTGTGCTGTCCCATCGTATTCACCATAATAATATCCCTACTGTTGTAGATACCTTTAATTTAGGTATTTTATTTATTTATTACAGGTATTTATGTAGTGATAACAATTTTCACATCATCTTACATATTGTATATCAGTCCTTTCCCTCTGGGTGGAACTTACAATCTAAGGTCCTCGATCTTCACAACCCACATAGGGCCAATAAACATACCGGCAGTGGTTATCAACTTATGAGCTAAAGGGGGCCTCTGTTATTTCGAAATGCATGCCTGTGACTTCACTAAAGGGCCACACATAATGTTTAATATATGTAATGTTTGGAGGACTGTCAGAAATACTGCAGGCCTAATAGAGACTAAGGTGAGGGTCATAGAGAGCGTGGACATGATGCAACTGTGATTTTTGGTTGGGGATATGCTGCAGAAGACAATACAAAACTGGGGGAACAAAATGTTACATGAGGCTAATAGAGATCAATCCTAATAAACTAATAAATGTTTCCACTATAGACTGTTGAGGTCTGAGGGCCACACATAAAACACCAAAGGCCTGCATGCAGGTTGCCCACCAGAGTTTTGGAATCTAAGAGGAAGCTGGAGTACCTGGAAAAAACCCTTGCATGCACAGGGAGAACAGTGAAGCTGTCCTGGTTGACCCTAGTGCTGAAAAAAACTAAGGCAGGAATGCAACCCTTATCTAAAGCCAAACATTTTTCTCCCATTTTAGGTAGAGTAGGGTATGGTTAAAACCCATCATTTTTTTATTTCTCTCTATGTCCTGTTTAAGAGACTTGCAATTAGGTTCAGAATTTTCCTGAAAAGTGGTGACATTGCCTTCCCATGGAGCTTCTGTTCAGCTAGGGCTACATTACCACTTCCTTCAGGAAAACCAGGCAATTAATAAAGAAAGGGGAAGTAAAGCAGAAAAACATAAAAATTGTGGTAAGCAATTTTGCATCAGCATAGAGATACAGAGATGCATACTAGTGTCAAATTTAGGGAAAGCGGTAAAGGTCCACTTTAAAGTTGTGGTGAAGCTATATAAAAGGGAGCCATAAGGCCCACATCTAAAGTACTGTCAGATGCCAGTCTTATGGAAGTCATTCTAGTTTCTTCAAACGTAGTATTACAGTGTGTTGTCTTTATAAAGTACAAGCCTGTCGAGAATGAGCTGATGCAAATGCATTGTATAACCATGCCACATTTCAATGGTTCCAGGCAAATAGGGCGTCTTGTACAGCAGTGACTTAAATTAGTTGTAATACCAGCCTGCCAGCTTGATGGCACATGTTGAAGTCACCACCCTGCCGAGATAAGAAGGGGGCATGCCAGTTTTGGGCAAGATTACGGAGGACAAAAATACATTTGGCATGCCAGAAAGGATCTGATTAATTCTAGGGACTTTCTATTTTAAAGCCTAGAAGTCAATGGCAAACTGTAAATGTTCATCAAACCTTTATATACAGTAGTTAAAACTGTTTTTTTTTTTTTTTTTTTGTTAAATTATTTTTTTTCTTGGCTAGAGTTCTCTTATCCATAGCTACATAGGGGAAATGGCCAAAAGAATCAGGTAATGGGTACAAGCAACAGGTTTTTGCACAGCATTCCACTTTGCCTGCTGTTGTCCACATAGCATTTTTTAATGGAGCTTTTGCTTACTCAAGCCTAGAGGTTTGATTAAAGTCAAACTTCAGCCAAATCTTTTACCATCCTCAGCCTGCTGACTGAAAAGTGAATGAAAGCAGACTGATGGGATAATTTGGCTGCCAAACCAGCTGCTGACATGGCCTATACTTGTAATCACGTTGGTGGAGATAACCGCTCACTTCTAGTCCATTCATATTATGTTTTAATCAAGCCCTGATGAGGAGGGAGCTTTTTGACCCCCAAAATATGTTGGATACTTTTATTGGAATAAAGTTGTATCTGGACCAGGGGCGGACTGACAACTCATGGGGCCCCCGGGCAATAGGGGATCATGGGGCCCCTGTGTCCTTGCCCAAACTCAAAAAAGCCTATGAAAAAGATACCAGGGGCATCTCATGGGGCCCCCTACTGACCCCGGGCCCTCGTTTCCAAATGGACAGTCCGCCCCTGATCTGGACTTGTCAACAGTTGTGTGTTTCTTCAATTTCCTTTTTTTGTTACATTACACTACAAGTCAAGGCGACCATGGGGATCCTCTGGAATGTAGGCCCAGGAACTGGATTATTACATCAACATCAATACTTTAAGATAGTAATAACCATAAGATTACTTATTGGTCCAGCATTATTTTTTCCACTTTTTTCAGCTAATGGAATAATCCCTTTGTTCATCGTGCATTCTCCTCCTATCAGCACATTCTTTTATCAGTGCATTTGAATGCAGTAAATCTGATTGGTTCCCAGTCCTGCCTCTCCTTTTTCTTGATCTAGGCTCTGCTCTATAAGGAATTGTAAGGTGCTCATACCAAGTCAAAGTCAGGTAAAAACACTAGTTGCAGTGAAAAAAAATAAATTTTGTAATGTAATCATGAATGCCTAGCTGCATTAAAGTGGACCTGAACTCAAAAAGTAAAGATAATAGGGAACATCTAAAATTGTAGACTTTTAGGGATGAGCCAAATATACCAGTTTGGTTTGAGATGGTTTTGCAAAACAAATCTAAGGTTTTGGTGCCAAATCCAAACCCCAGCAAAGACAATGAAAGCTGATTGTTAAGCACCAGTAATGGCCATTTTCTAGGCTAATAGCCCAGGGGTTCTCCAGAATTGGCATGGGGGAACTGGGCACTTCCCTCGGGGGTATGTACCAAAGCAAAAAAAGTTTTAAACTCTATTAGCAGCAAATGACAGCTTGAGCAACTTTACTTCTGTTTGCATTCCCTTCATCTATACCAGAATCTTACCTATACCCAAGGTTTGCTTCAGGCACTATTACCCTAAGCTCTGGCTTCAGGATGACCCCAACCCAGGGGGTGAATTTATGACATCCTGGACTCAGAGGATGTCGATTGAATTACCCTGGCTCTCATTTAACCCAGAATGCTAAGGAAATCTAGGGTCCAAAAAGAAATACAGTGGGTGGCAGATCCAGGTTGATGGTGTGTATTGTAGCAAAAGCTGATTTTTTAAAAAAAATTTGTATTAGCCTATTAATTGTGTTTTTTGAGGGAGGAGAGCTTTAAAGTGGAACTCCAGTCTACGCTTAACCAGCCTTAAAATGTCCTCTCCCCCCCTCCAAACACCTTTGAAAAATGTATATACTTACCTATTGTTTAGCGCACTCTGGTCTGGTCATGTGATCCAGCTCCCCTGGGTCAGCCAGTGCAGCTGCAGGGGAGAGGAGGGAGCACTGACAACAAATGGGCCATTAAAGCCTATATGTGATGTTACTACTCCAAGGTATACTAGCCATAGACTAGCAGGGAGTGGGAGCACTCTGCAATTTTCCGAATGGACCCATATCGTATATGGAGTGCATTTAAATGACACCCCCGAGGGGAACTTGAACACACAGACTTGCAAGGCAACAGTGCTAACCTTTAATCCAACATTGTAAGACTTTGCTCATCAGGTACTGGGCTAAATGAAAAAAAAAATCAGCATGCCAATAAAGAACCTTGAACATAAATAATAATCCTGCCAGGATTTGTATTAAACTTTTGATGCTTAAAAAAAATGCTGTGCGTGCGTTTGGGCTAAGCTGCTCAGTAGTAGGAGTGTAGATTTGAATGCACTTCGCAGGAATGTTTTCTTCTTTAATATGCTGAAACTACTACACAGCAGCCATAGCCATAAATAATATATGGGCCAGATAAATGCTGGTAGACCTGAGCAGAGGAGCATTAAAAAAGAGGCTTTATACACAGAGGACTTCAATTGAAGGATGAAGAGGAAAATAGAGAGCGGAAGGGATTTCATAAGTATAATGTGCTCGTATGAATGCAGGAATCATCGTAAAGGTAGATTAAATATTATATAAAGGCTAGTGGCTAATATAGACACAATTTGAATGAATTATCTTGAAAAGCAAAAAGACAAACTACAGTCTCTGCTTGGCCTGTTCTCTGCACCTGACTGCCCTGCTATCTAAATCTCTATCTTTGCTAGGATATCTTACTGCAGAATGTCTTGTAACAGGGATCACAATGGCTTTATAATGCAGCCATCAAATACATACAGCGTGATGGTAATACAGGCTTGTTGTAAAATGACAGATTAGGCTGTTTCTGACAACAGACCCAGAAATGCTAGGCATGTCACTTAGGTCATTCGACATTGAAGTCATTGAACACTCTTTATTTTGATGCACTTGGAATGCATTTAGCTGATTTAACTAGTTTCCGACTGCAGATAGCCGAATGGCGGCTGCACTGCGGCCGGCCAGTTCTGGGTGGACGTCATATGACGTCCTCCCAGAACGCGCACTCCAGCGCGCCCCCCAGGCCGCGCACCCGGCGATCTCCGTGATCCCTGTGTCCTACGGACACAGCTGATCACGTGACGTGGTAAAAGGTCAATCACAGTGGCCTTTTACCACGTGATCAGCCGTGTCCAATGACACGCTGATCACCGGGAAATGCAAATGCCGGTTCTCGGCTGCACTTTCCTCACGCTGTCAGATCGTGAGGAAAGTACTGCCGAAAACCGGCAGTTTTCAGAGCGGGGATCAGCACTGATCATCAGGGTCACTGATCATCAGTCCCCTGATGATCGGTGCCCAGCGGTGCCACACACAAATTCTGCCCACCTGTGCCCAGCAATGCACCCACCTGTGCCCAGCAATGCACCCAACTGTGCCCAGCAGTGCGCCCACCTCTGCCCAGCAATGCACCCACCTCTGCCCAGAAGTGCCACCTACCTGTGCCCAGTAGTGCCACCCACCTGTGCCCACCAGTGCCACCCACGTGTGCCCACCAGTGCCACCCACCTGTGCCCATCAGTGCAGCCCAGCAGTGCTGCCAGTCAGTGCCACCAGTCAGTGCCCAGCGGTTGTGCCAGTCAGTGCCCAGCAGTGATGTCAGTGCCACCTATCAGTGCTGTCTATCAGTACCCATTATCAGTGTCACCTATCAGTGCCACCTATCAGTGCCGCATATCAGTGCCACCTATCCGTGACACCTCATTAGTGCTGCCTATCAGTGCCGCCTATCCACGCCACCTCATTAGTGCTGCCTATCAGTGCCCATCATTGCCGCCTATCAGTGCCCATCAGTGCTGCCTCATCAACGCACATCAGTGAAGGAGAAAAATGACCTATTTGAAAAAATTTATAATAGGAACAAAGAAACTTTTTTTTTTTTAATTTTTTTGCACTTTTTTTGCTTATAGCACAAAAATTAAAGTGCCCAGCAGCGATTAAATACCACCAAAAGAAAGCTCTATTTGTGAGAAAAAAATGATAAAAATGTCATATGTGTACAATCTTGCATGACCGTGCAATTGTCAATAAAAGTGCGACAGCGCTGAAAGCTGAAAATTGGCCTGGTAAATAAGGGGGTATAAGTGCCCAGTAGGCAAGTGGTTAAAGCGGTATTAAATCTAAAAACAAAAATGTAATATATTGCATCTTATAAATTTTTTAGATGTAAGCACTGCATTCATTTTCTTTTTTTTTTTCCTTTTTTTTTTCACCTGGTGATTCGTCCGGTAAGTCTGTGATTTTTCAACTTCCTTTAGTGCCGATTCACATATGTATGGTGCAGGTTGACAGCTCCAGTTTCAGGGCGAATTGCAAAGTAGTAGTTCAGCAGTTCAACTCTGGTTCAGGTCAGGATTTGAGGAGGGAAAACCAGCCTGAAATTATGTTCACAAACTCATGACATGAGTGATTCAGAAATGATTCCCTTATAAGTCAATGAGCCTGTAATCCGCACCTGAACTGGACTGCACTGCTCAGAAATCGTACAGGACTCTTTTTCAAGCTGCACTGAATCTGCACTGCCAGTGCACCGGACATATATGAACAGGCACCATAGGAAGCAATGTAATTTCACATGTCATGCAGATCGGATGTGGTTCAAACCACATCCATTCTACATATATGTGAACAGCACTTAACAGTCCAAAAGCAGAACCTTCTAAGATTCTGCTGTTTACCTGTTTACAGGGAGCTGAGCATTTTATCACCGGAGAAGCAAGTTCATTAACCATGGAGCTATAAGCAAGATCGCCCAACCCTGTGTCATAGGGGTTGTTAGGGTAAGGTGTTTGGTGCGTGGGAGAATGTGCACTTCAGTTGAATGAACTGGGTCACTTTTTTGGCACTTATAAAAGCACTGGTTGATATGATTTAAGAAGTTAAGGTTTATATATGTGTTTGTTTTTAGTTGTACTACTATTGCGTTTTTATTTTCTTGGGAAACATTTGCCAAGAGGAAGATCCAGGAGGGTGTTTTGAAGAAAGAATTGATTTGAAATTATATATGCTATAAATTTTGTTTTCTGGTAAGAATATAGGCAAATGGGAGAACAGGTCGCGAGTTGCTGATGATTTTGCACACATGTTGAATATACACACGTGTGTGCACAATAATAACTATCTATAAAAACTATAAAAAAAAATATTAAAAAATCTATAAAAACATTATAGATTATGCAATATTGAAGGTATCACACTATATGAGCTTTCTTTTTTGGGAACACATTAGAGGAGATAAGAAGAAAAATTAAAGAAGACACTGAAGGGTTAGAGAGTAAAGCTTTACTGGGCCCATCTTTTATGTTTTGGTCAACTGATCTGGTAAGAGTCTCGGAGATTGGAACTTTTGGACATATTTACTTGTTGGAGGATTGAAGTGTTTACTAGATATTCAAAGTGCTGGACTTTTTGGACTGATATCATTGGAACTCACCAGGGGGTCTTGTTATATGGTCTGGCAGCTGGCTGATAGGAAAGTATGATAGATGATAGTTCTGTTCATTTAGTGTGACATTGATGCAACTTTACACTCTCTGGCACTCAAGTAGCATCAAAGTAGTGAAGGAATCTTTATGTGTCCAAAGTCACATGTTAGGGTTAAAGGCTTGGGTTAGGGATTAAAGGGGTAGAGTTGGTGTTAAATGTTAGGGTTAAGGTTAAATTTTAGGGTTAGGGCTAAGGGTTAGGGTTAAGGGTTAGTGTTAGGGTTAAATGTTAGGGTTAAGGGTTAGGGTTAAATTTCAGGGTTAGGGCTAATGGCTAGGGTTAGGGTTAAGGGCTAGGTTAGGTGAAATGTTAGGGTTAAGGGATAGGGTTAGTGTTAAATGTTAGGGTTTAAGGGTTAGGGTTAAATTTTAGGGTTAGGGTTAATGGCTAGGGTTAAATTCTATGGTTAGGATTAAATGGTAGAGTTAGGGTTAAGGGCTAGAGTTAGGCTTAGTGGTAAAATTATAGTTGGGGTTAGGGTAATCGTTAGGGCTAGGGTTGTTAAGGCTAGGGTTAGGGTTAAATGTTGGGGTTAGGGTTAATGGCTACTCTTAAATTCTACCCTAGCCCCTTAGTCGATATAAATTTAACCCTAGAGTTAGGGACTTTAACGGCTAAAGGTTAGGCTTACTTGGTAAACATTATGCTGGGTTGAAGGGTTAGTGGTTAATCGTTATGGGCTGGTTGTAATTGTTAGGGTTATCATTAACTAACCGAAGGAACAATTACTAGCGAACCCTCAAAACAAAGTCCTAAGTCCAAAATACTTGAAACAAATCCAAAAAGGCTCGGTTAAACTCAAAACCTTTAACCCTAGTCTGATGGATTCCAGATATTCTTCGTACCTCAAACTAATAAAAATTTAACCCTTAGCCCTTAACCGTGTTACATGCAAAAAACATGGTGACTTTGGACATATATAAAGGTTCCTGTGCTACTTGGATGCAACTTTCATATTTTGGAGCTATTTTTTGAGTGTCAAACAGTTGCATCAAAGTCACACTACATGGACAGAACTGTCATGCTTTCCTATTAGCAAAAAACAATGCGACTTCGGACACACAAAGGTTCCTGTACTACTTTGATGTGACTAAGTCTCACTAAATGAACAGAACTGTCGTACTTTCCTGTTAGCCAAAAAAAAAAAAAACACAAAACGCATCAAAAATGCAACATTTGTCTTTTTTGGTGGGGGTCCATTAATGTCTGTTACACTCAAAATGCAATCTGCTGCGGGAAAAAAGTCCCTGACCTTTTCCAAAAAATGCATCGGCTCAAAACACACAGATGTGAGCTAGATCCATAGGAAACCATGTTAAATGAACTGTAGTGCATTTCTGCAAAATACACAAAAAAAATGTAAGGCTTAGGATGTTTTTGCCCTTCCAAATTTTATTCTGCCACCTGGACATCTCTGCCACCAGTTTTTTTCCAGTTTCACTATGCCCAGTTACATGTGTCACACTACTGTACTTAGCATAGTTAGTGGTAATTTGTGGCATTCAGCTAGATTTATTTTTTATTTATTATTTATTTCAGGTACTTATATAGCGCCGTCAATTTACGCAGCGCTTTACATATATATTGTATATTCACATCAGTCCCTAACCCTCAAGGGGTGTACAATCTAAGGTCCCTAACTCACATTCATACATACACATACTAGGGACAATTTAGACAGGAGCCAATTCACCTACCAGCATGTCTTTGGAGTGTAGGAGGAAACCAGAGTATGCAGAGGAAACCCACGCAGGCACAGGGAGAACATGCAAACTCCAGGCAGGTGGTGCTGTGGTTGGGATTCGAACCAATGACCCTAGTACTGCCACATGGAAGTGCTAACCACTTAGCCACTGTGCTGCCCGATTTGTTCTGTAATATTAGGCATTTCCCCATTCATCCAAGTAAGCTCCTTGGTTGTGAGTGTCAGGAACCCAGCAATTGTAACTACATGGGTTACATAATCATCTTTCTCTAATCACTATGAAAAGTGTGAAGGAAAGATGATTGCCCAAGAACATGAGTGGAGCCTCCAATTTTAAGGTGCAAAAGTTTCTGAAATATCCCTTTTCTAACTACTTAATCCACTCACCATGGTGGCATGAAGTTGAGGGAAAGTGTTAATAGTTCAGGTTACAAGACTGAAGGGATAAGTTGATGTCAGATCGTCGGGGCAGAGATATCAAAATGGTGTTATATGGGGGTAACATATAGTGTTGAAGATTTCAACCATTTTTTGGAATAGGTGTTACATTTTGACTTAGATGTCCTCTTTCATGCCTCTTGCCAACCAGTTGTTGAAAAGGTGCACCTCATTGTCCACGAACAAATGCCGCTGAAGTGTAGGCCTCCCTCCTAGATTGTAAGCTCCAAGGATCAGGGCCCTTCTATCCCTCTTGTGTTGAACTGTATTGTTGCTGTATTGTCTCCCGTTATATTGTAAAGCGCTGAGAAAACTGTTGGCGCTATATAAATCCTGTATTATAATAATAATAATAACATAGGACAGCATGTGTGTTCTTTGTTATGTCCGTTATGTAAAGTTTACAGGAGATGAAGTGAAGCTAATTAAGTCATTTTGCTCTCCCCTCTTGTACATCTGCCCTGTGCTTACATTAGTGGTTAGAAGACTGGAAGGCTGCCAAGTCACTGCTGAGAGGGGGGAGCTGAGCTGCTGAAAGTGAAAGTGTTTCTGCCGTACAATTTGAGTATAATTTCTCCACAATGTGTGTAGCTTCCGGAATCATGATGGGCTTGTTTCAAAGCTCACTTACAGTTAATATTCTGCTACTGTAAATATCTAAATATCCATGGCTGGGTCACCGTTCTACTTTAAAAAGTTTTTGCTAGACTCTTTCATGTTTAGTAATACGAAGTCAGCCACTTTAAACCTACTATATGATGTTCAACAGAGGAAAATAAATCAAAGTTTAAAGTTCAAAAGAGTCTTCTGTATACTGGGACGAAAGCACCAAAGTACAGTCTCATACTCTGCGCTTTGTCTGGTAGTTTCAATACGCTCAAGGCTAAGTGTCTTTGATAAACTTGAACGAATAAACCTGACTTCTATGGGGTGTACTCTGGCAGCTGCTTTTATCTAGGTATTTATTATCTTTAGATCCGCAGCATGCACTCACCCCTCGAATGTTGCTAACATCATAAAAAACTGGTTGTCATGGTAGGTTTTGGTCCAGCTGGTTCTGTGTAATAAAATGCAGTTGATATCAGAACACGTAA